CAATATGGGAAAAGTTAAGCTACTCCCTGTGACAAAGAAAACCATAGCTAACTTTGTATGAAGATGATTGCATACTACGGAGAAAGTAGTTTGTTATAAAAGCAATGAAAAGGTCGTCTTTATTATATGCCCTTTAGTAAAACCATGATGCAAAATAAAGCTGCAATTTATTGGGCAGAAGTTTATTTATTCAACTACTGTTTCAATGACTATTATTCACCACTTGTTAATCTTTTGCTCATAGTCAACAGCATTTTACGCTCATGGACTCAATCACAGTAGGCGGAGGAAACGATTTCGCAAATACCTATCTGTTGCCATCATCCTTCCCTTCTGCCTTGTCCTACCGGCTATTACTATTAACGAGTATGCCATCAAGCTGATCGCGTCAGCACATGTCAATCGCTCGTCAGTCCCTCTGTCCACTACCTTTGACGAAACCAAAGTCGCTAGTTTTAACATCACCCGTGTGGAAGTCCTCGGGGAGTCTTTGGCATACATCTACCCAGGCTTCTGCCCCGATGGTGCGCGATCTTGGTTCACTAACCTGGGAGGTCTGGTCATGTGGTTCCTTGTGCCCGCAGGCACCATGATCACCTTCAACTCCCTCGCCCTCCTTGTGGTCTGCATTCAAATCTGCCGCCTCTCTAGAGAAGCGCAGGTGCACTCCACTCCTCAGAATGAACAGGAGCGAAAGCGGCGCGAAAAATCAAAGAACCTCACTAGAATCTGCACCAAACTGGCCATTATCCTCGGTGCTAGTTGGTTCGCCCAACTTTTCGCTGGATGGTGGACGCAGCTTCTCGTAATGCGAAGAATACTAGGTCTGGTTAACAGCGCTCAGGGAGGGGTGATAGCACTATCCATGCTTGCCAGTGTCAAGGCTAGACGTGCTTTAGCCAATATACTACCTGAATGCTGTCAAGGCTTTGTTGCTCCTGTTTCTAGCACACAAAAATCCACGTCTAGAGACAAAGAGAAATCAACCTCGGCCACTACCAGGACATGGACGTCGGTGCTACTACCGAGAAGAAATCGACCGCACACCCAAAGTATTGCAGATTCAAGTGGTTAGAAAACTTGAATTAGTGTTTATTTTTCCATGCATTCACCTTTTGCGCCATCGGTAATGCCTAATGTTTCATTTATGTTGTGCAAATTGATAATATTTGTGGCATTTTAAAGGGACTCCGAAATCAAACCATTATAAGAATTGTCTTCTTTGGCGTTTTTTTGCTGATTACGATCTAATAAAGCTTAAGAATTTGTTATTCGAACTGATTATTTACTTTAACATAGCAAATCAAGCGTAAAAGATTGAATACTGTTGAGTAAGTGAATATGCACTTCTTTTGCATGCCTGTTGAAGCGAAAAGACAGTAAATCTGTATGCTAGATCTATTTGAAAGGTTTATTTCAAAGTTCCATTTGTTCCTTCATTTACAAAGGCTTTTGTTGCTTTAGATCAACCTAATAATTTCTAGAGCCTTTGGATTTGATTACCAAATTGGCAATAAGTTGTAGGTAGACTGAACAAATGCCACGTCCTGAACCTGTAGGTACCGCTATGGCATTGATCAAAACTGCACACCATCTGTTTACCTTACTAACCAAATCGTCCGTCAGCAAAACTAAGAGCCTGTATTGTTAACTGGCGCATAAATTAAACTAGCAATCTCCCTCAAGTTGGTCG